AACTCAGGCACGTTCCAGAAGGGGAAGCCTTTGGTAAAATTAGAGAGATTCCAAATTATCATTCTTTCTTAGTAATTTTATTCCCCTCATGAAGTCACTTGGAGGATGTAATCAACATCCCATTATCGATGAGACCAGAGTTATTTGGAGACTCCTTGGACAGGGGAATCCCTTAACACCGATGTGCTAAGAAATTCGAATGTATTACTCTATTGTGTCTAGTGGGAAATATATCGGACACCTCAGATAATAGTTTAGAGACTGATTCCAATGTATGCTGTACTTACTATCTATAAACGGTACATTGGTGGCATCTATCGTCAATTGTGTGAACCCCCTTTTGTTTCTATCCACTGTCAGATGGATAACAAGTCAGCCTCAAGAAGAGCGTTGTTGTAATGTTCAACGAACGAATTCATGTATTGGTGAGGGAGCGGTATATTAATTGAGCGTCCAAAAGCTGCTCATCCCTGAACCTTGGACGTCAAAGAACGTATTTCAGCCGGGATTGAGCGTCCCTCTGAACGTTCCTGGGCCACTTGGGAGTCCTTGGAGTAAATGGAGGGGACAGTTGGCTGTCACAATCGTGGCGTTTCGATGAAATCACATTAGGTGTTTCGACCATTTCGAGAAGGTGCACTATGGTAAATGCACCAGTTTGTGGACAGGTAAAATACAATTTTATCTTTGAAATTGTACTGCGGTCATTGGAGTCACCGGCGTGTTTGGTAGCAATATGAGGTCACTCGTCATAGCGCCAAATCCATGCTCTGGCATTTAGTATTGATTGCATACTTTTCCAACAATAGGTTTTTTAAAGACTAAATGTGGATTTTCACGTTGTTCTTATTTGTGGACGACCTGGTTCCAGTCCGTGGACAGTCACGGACTCAGTTTGCGGACAACACCTGTTTCTTGGCAATCATGGACTCGGATAGGACTTATGAGAAGGTATAACCATGGAACGTGAGTAAAAGTTTCATTCATCATCACTGAGATGAAAGTGAAGGGGAAATCTCTCATTCTGCACCCATGTTTTGCCATGCGCAACTTCATCCGCGCCCAATTTGACGAAGTCAAACTCAATATGATAGAAAACCCGATATGCGTTCTCCGAAGAAGTCCATCTGATCACTCAAAAAACATTGAATTCATTAATTCAGACTAAAGGTGTCTCTTTTGCCGCCAAAACCCTTTCCTTTCCGATGATCTCCGATGAAAAGACACTTACCGTGTCTTTTCGCTAATTTACTTTCATGCTAATTTACAGTACTGACCTCATGTTCTGATTTTGAAAAGTTTCACTGGTAAGGACATAATCACTCAGTGGATGACTTATTGATTTAGTTGGCCAACCTTGACTCTTTCTCTGCGGACAGCACAGGGAAATGACCCTATATTGGATTTTCAAGGGGCCTCGCACAATTTTTCCCGCTGAATGGCTACTTTTAGAACCCCAAGCCTTTTGACACCACGTCCAATCGACAGACAACCATCGCGTATCCCGCTAAGTGCGTTATGCAAATTACGATCTGCGTATTTTGTTTCGAGCCTATTTTTGGGATGTTGGAAAACATGGACAATTAATGAATTCATCTATAAACGTTTTCTTAGGCCCTGGTCCTATTTCCCCCGAAAAAAGAAAATGCTTGACTTTTGGGTCAAGGTTGCGCTCACTTAAATAAGCTTCAGGCTGGAGTTCCTTCTATTTGTGGACATCATATCGGGTACTGGCTGATACGAGAGCAAATAAGTTCTCTCTGTTTTTTTTTTTTTCCCCTCAGTGATATGTATTCGTTGGTACATCTAGTGAGGAAAACCATCAGAGCAAACGTGGGACTCGTATATGTGCAATAGAAATAATGAAATACTAAGAACTTATTTGTACTTGCAAAAAGTATATCTCACCGCTAAAGGAAGTATTCCGCAAGCTGAAGGAAGGATTCCTCTTCGTGGACACCACCGTCCACAAATAGGCAAGTCAAGGATTCAGTTTGTGGACAATGATCCTTCGTCGTATTAAAGGAATCTTTTCATCCAAACATGAATAGAAATATGAATTAGGAACTTCTAGCAACATATGTGAACTGATCTTGTGCATCAAACACATTTACGAAGGATTTGCAACCGATGAGAAAAGTGACTGGAAATATAAGGAATTGAGGGGTGCTAAATATAAAATGAAGCGAAAATGTATACGTTAACTCATGTTAATGGTCATGCATAATTTATATGGTGGTCGACTGGCATGTGCATAAGATGTAGTAGTCAACATTAAGAATTTCCTGCGCATATTTTTTAGGGTAATAGAAAACGCGAAATCGTCCACAAACTGGCGCCCTTCCATGAAACGCTGCCTTTACCCTATACAAACATGGGAAAAAGCAGCTAGACTTCAGTGCTGCCCGTGGTCCTACCATTTACAACGCATTTTTCGCATGGATACACGCAAATGCCAGTACACTCAGGTGCTTCGCCGGATGGACTGATACTGTGCGACAATACACTCAAATTTCGATCCTCAGAAGGGTTCGGAAAGCAAAACGTGTCACAAAACTAGTAGGGTGGGAGACCAATATATTCACGTTTTCATTCAGGAGAGCAAGAACTTCACACGTCCTTGTAGAAGGAGCGGAATATACTCATTGCAAAATTTTACATGATGAATTTCCCTGTAGATTGCCTTGTTTGCGCTGAAGCCTAAAGGCTAATTGGTGCAGAAGAAACCACAAACACCGGGTGAGGAAAAAATAATTTCTATTTGAAATTCTTTGGAGTTCATTAGATTGCGGATAGCATGGCAAAAAATGCTTACCAAGACTTTTACGAGTATTTTAAACGTCCCGAAGTTCTTGTTCTTCCTCCAGCCTTTTTAGCGATGAGCAAAAATGCAAAGGCAGCTTGAATTTTATTTTTAAATGCTGCCCTGAAGAAATGCTGCTCTTTGTAAATGGACATGGGATGGGACAGTATTTCATGGAATAAATTTTCTTGATAAAATAAACGTAGACCTCTCGTCAAGTGATTCTTAGGATCGGAAGACTAAAAACTGGCCAGCACAAAAGGAAACTGCGTTCATGCAAAAGAAGAGATTGTTTCTCGAGATAATATTCATGGGATGCAAGTTTCTCATATGCAAATTAGCAGACGCAAGGACGAGTCGGATACACTGTACAAGTTCGCTGGACATACAATACAGCAAATTATTGAAATGCGTGAAAGAAACAAATACTAACGGAAAAGAAGTCTCATTGCCAAAGACAAACTGCGAGAAAGAGCAAGTCACCACTCTGCTTTGGATGGAAATAACAATTCTCATTATGTACTTGATCCATTTATTGGGAACATTTTCAAAAAAAAAAAAAAAAATTCCGAATTTGTACAAGTGTTCACGTCGTGTCAATGTTTCTCGTCCTAACGTCTTGGGAACATAACGTCTTGTGACAGGTCTTCATCCTCATGGCACGCTAGAAATATCCAGGCAATAAATAAAAACTTAATTTTTCAAAAAATATAGGATTTCATTTTGGCATTACACAGACTTCAGATTTGTGGTCTTCTTTGATTTCTTCACTCTGTACTGCCTTGAAATCCCGCGATGTAAGGATGTCTTCTGGATTGTTTCATGATTATTATTTTAGTAATGACAAATCAATTATGGTGCTGATGAGCTTTAAGACACCCTTGACAGGTCGACAAACAATGGCATGAAGATACTTCCATCGTCGAAGACGCACGAAAGCCACAGCAGCTGAGTGGATATAATCGATGGACTGATCAACATATCGATTCAACAAATCGATGAAAGGGCTTTGTGCCTTCATGCTTCGCGGCAACCCTCACTTGAATTTCCGCAATTGCCACACAATAATGTCCATGAAAATTCAACAAGTCTTAAAGCTGTAGTGGGCATCTTGGAACGCCAAGATCTTATTGCAAATATAGCGACTGTTCGTCACCTCGTGGGCGAAGAAGGCCTCTTCGTCTTCCTGTCAATTCTTGTCTTAATACGTACGTGGTAAGAAACGTTGAGGTGGTGGAATGGCGACTGTGGAAGATGGCCAAGGGCGGGGAATGGTCCCCTTCCTTTCAGATGGTTGGATGACAGGAGAGGACGAAATAATCCAGGGAACAGCCGGGAATTGAACCCGGGCCTCCTGATTGCCGGTCGAGTGTACTACCATTACACCACCGAACCTGGGACATTCATTCCCCCAAATTTCCCATTCGTCCCCCAAATGCCATTATTATCTTTACATTTCCATGGATTGTCATCTTCGGCCAACAAAGAGGATGAAGCGAAACGACATCGTATGTGGTAGAAATGGCTCTGAGATGGAGAGGAGAACCTGCGTGCAAGGTATACAACCGCGAAGCAGACACTGGCTGATCAGGCGGGCGTCACCCAGACTTAACCCGGACTTGGACTTTAACTAAGCATTCGAGACATTCATTCCTTCCAACTCATTTTGGCTTCTGCATGGTTGAAGTCTATGTTGCGAGCAAATCGTCGACACGTTTGCTCCCGGCGTCCGAAACCCTTGGCCGATCGACTTTGTCATATTTATCTGAATCCGATTGGGGAATTTTTAAGCTTGAAGCTTGAAAGAATATGGGAACAAACCTTGTTATAGACAATATGTCTAGCTCTACTTTCGTGTATGTTCATTTCATGATTTTCCGAATTGGGATGTTACGAATTTCTGCAAGTATTCTGGATAGTGCGTGATTATGTGCTATTGCAGGTGGAAAAGTATCGGGTCTCTCCTGTTCCAAGAAGCAAATTCGATGGACAGAGATGAGGTCGCTGAAACCTCGTGAAGAGCCTGCGCAGATTGGAATATCCAGCGTATATAATCAAGAGGCCCAAAAGCAGTATATTCTTCAAGACTGCAGCTCCCTGTCGAGTTTTGGCTTGCTCGTTCCCTCCACTGACCATTGCTTAATTAATCTGTCTTACTTCAACAACTTCTCACTTTCTTGAGAAAGGGGGAAAGAGGATGAGAGAAAAAGTTGGGATCGGTGACGGAGCGAGGGGAAGGTCAGTGGTGATCCAGTTCGAAGACGAAGCGGAGGAAACAGTCGGCGTCGGCCCTGTCACCATCAGATTCCTCAGCAGATTCACAGGACACGTGAGTGCCTTCAATGCCAAGTTAATCGACAGGTATGAGAATTCATGCTGGATGCTTTAAAACCAGAAACTTAACTGGTCTATTAGTCTAAGAAACATTTCATTCAAGCACCCTGTTCGTACGATTTATTGGTGAGTGCTCTTAATCATGAATATGTTTCCTAATACAATAATGACTATTAATTTCCATAATCGGCCGTGATTCAAAACACCTTTCAAGATCGGCATAAACCACTACCTTCACACAAATGTTACTTCAAGTGACAGTGCAATAAAAAAGTGTAAACACGAATAAAACATGGAATCAATGGAGGACCGCATTAAACGAATGGGATGAGGAACCCTCTATATTACCCTCACTTCATGGTATCCTCTCACGAAAACAGAAGTAAAGAAGAGCTTTAGAATAAAACGCTTCAAGCCTATACAATTTTGATCGAGTTCCTTGATATACATAACCAAGAGCCATCTTCGGAATCATTAGCCTCATTGAGGCACATGAAAAACCCAGCTTGTTCAACATACTGTGAATCAATAGGTTTGGTAGCGCCTATTAACTTTTCTTCCACCCCTTCCAGCAGCAAAAACCATCCTCTTCGTATTCCTCACTGAGAGTAACAACGTGAACAAAATGTGGGGTTCTTTTTCTTATCGCAACGCAGAATCCCTCCCGCAAATTCACAGCTTTTCTGGAAGCTGTGAAGCCTTTTTTTCTCTCCTGAGTAGCCACTCCTGCGATGCTTTCGGAGGAAAGATACCAAATATGAGAAAGATAATGAGCTGCAGATGACGAAAACTGCCATTTTTGGTGCGCGCGATGCACCATTTCGTCATGAAAATGAAATTAGCTGTCGTTCACTTACCCTTATAACGCTAGCTCCGATCCCGTAAACCATTCTTGCTTGGATATCATGTCGGAGTTATGTGAGATTCATGATTTCTTTGGCTTTAGTAACGTTGTCTGGATCTTCTCTTTTTTTTACATGCAGGATACATTATTGTGCGGAATTCATGGGATGATCTGAGATTGTTACGGTGATTTGCAGTGGCCGCTGGATTTGGTGGAATACGGAGATATCTCTCTAGGACATCCCTAAATTAACACAATGAAAGCCAGCTTGTATGTCATGCGTCATAAAGGCATTTTCTTCCCCGAACGAGTCGAAACGTGACCAGAAACTCTGGATTGCCCTCATTTTCCCCGACCGCACTGGAGTGGTTCATGAAAATCGGAAAGACATACAATCGGTCTATCGTTACACATTCTCTGCTGAATGGGCCATGAGGGACTGAATAGGATTGCGATTAGCCTAGCGTTACGCGTCCTCAGTGAGGTATCTGGAAGACCATGGATTAATCCGAAAAGGCCTAATTGGTCCGTAGGTTGGGGATTGAGTTTCCTTTGAGCGAAAAAAGTTATGCCTATGCCGAACGCCAGTGAGTTCCGTAGAGAAGGGGGGAAAGGGAAGGGGGGGTGAGGTTGAGGTTAAAGTTGAGACTGAAGAAAGGGAAAACTTTTGCCAATTTTTTTTTCACGTTACTACATGATGGAAGTGTTGAGGCACAAACATATACCAAGGGGGTGCCAAGGTCTTATTCCTAGTAGCGGGACAAAAATTCCCATGAAATGGGGAGGAATAAGCTGTCACTCCCGTCCTGTTCGGCTTTTTCGTGCTCGACTTGACAAACGTCATAACGCTTCAAGCATCATCGCTCAGTACTTACTTTCTTAGTTTTATAACAAACTTCATGGTAACTCTCCTTTGATACGTTTCATTTCGTTTCGCAATGCTGCAGTAGAATTCTTTAATCCCATTTGTTGTAGTCGAGCAATTTACTTTTGCTACATTTGGACGTTATGTATTGTCTCATCAAATATGTCGTGAATTCACTCTTCATTTCAAATTGAAATTAAGTGTTGAGTGTCATCATTCCATACGCCCGCCATCACGAAAATGAGAGATACACTTGCTCCCTCCAAAGTCGCAAATATGAGATAGCCTGATAGCCTCCCGGAACGGAACCCACCTATTTGCTGGTCCGGTTTTGCATGGCATCCCGGGTCGCGGAGGTTGGCTGTGTCGTTCAGGCACCATTAATACCTGAGGATTTCCCGTCTTGCTGGGCAAGCTAGGCTGTGCCTGAACGAGGTCATTGAATGCCGTCTGACCCTCCTCTATTGCACCGTTACGATGCACCACTCTCAGTCTCGGCGGATCGTCGTAGTGCCACCTTCTTTCTCACGATTGCGGATTTCCTGGGGCCTTGTTCTATTACTTTTCTGAGTGCTAATTATTGATATCCAAACACCGAAAAGGCTCCCATATCTATTCAAACAGTTCCACCTCTCCTGTCGTATTGTCGAATTCATCATACGCAGAGCTTATTTCCAAGAGCTGATTCAATGTTTCATTTTGAAAATGGTTACATGACTAATTCAAGTACAATACTTATAGCACACACCGAAGCGCTCTGTCTTAGTTCACAACACTCATTATTTCCAGTAGCCCATAAATAAATTATCTGGGGCACTGGGACAAGACGTTTCCACAGCAGCACTTCTAGAAAAAGAAAGAAATGTTTAGATTTAGAAATGTAGGATGGTCCCTCGATCTCCTGATCCCAGTCCATCTGATAATTTATATTGATGCAATTTGAAAGAACAGACTAGACAAAAATGATGAATTCAAGGAGGACATCTACACTTATAAAGCCGATCGTCACTGAGTGACTGAGTGATTGAGTGAGTGACTGACGCTAATTCTAACCATGTTCAAGAAAGTAAGAAATCTGAAAGTTGGTACACAATTAGCTAATGGGATGCACAGTTCAGAATAAATTCGACTTTGGAAATAAATGCCCTGGAGGCACCCATTTTTTGAGGAAACGTTTTCAATGATACTTATTTTATTCAGTGAAACAGAGAGTCATGGAAAGCTTTTAGGCACAAGCTTTTAATACTTTTTGCCACTTTGATAGTAAGTTAAGGAATGAATAACTAAGCTGTACACTGGAGCGCCGGTATATGCAGGTATATGCTTTCAGGTGTTATTTATGCAAGGGTACGTTTTAAAATAATTTATCTTACTTCAGATAAAGCAAAGATGGACAAAGCTGAAAATGGACGTGAAAGTGCCTATTGAAGGGCTGATTTCCAGGAAAACGTAAATTTTCAGATGTACCCTCTGAAGATAAATTTTTTCACGGATAAGTTTTATATTGTTTCTTCCTTCAGTCAAAGAGAAATGCATAAAGAGCTGAAAATGAGAATAAATGATTTGCTAATTCAAAGGAAATTTTCACTTTGGAGATGTATGCCGCGGGGGCACTATTTTTGAGGGACATGTTTTCAAATAATTTATGCTTCAGCGAAACCGATTTTTATATATTCCTGGGATGAAGGAATTCAAGGAAAATCTTCATTTAGTCTTACACACAGACACAGCATATGTTTTGGTTGCTAAAAGTTCTTGGAATTTTTTATCGCCATTCTGGAGGATATTAATTTTTGGGGGAAGAATGTGTAAACTCCCACAATTTCGCTCAAGAAAGGTGGTTCTTACAGTCTTCCTATAGAAGGCGCAATATCGAGGCTACTCATAGGTTACAATTCTGCAGCTATCAAGAATCTCTGCTTGATTGAAATTCCTAACATTAGATTGAAAATCACATCACATTAGCAGGAGTATCTTAAACACACGATGAAAAAATCTTACTTATATAATGAATAGTTTTACCCAATTTGTATTTATGAGAATCGAAAAGGGGATGCATCAAATTTACTATTATTAATCTTTTATGATTTGAACCGCGTCGAAGGCCCAGTTCTTGGAGAGTTTGTTTGCCCTTCGGGCAAACAAATTCGCTGGTAAGAAGCTAAATTCAGGCCATTCCTGTTAAGGTTCTCGGTAAGGTTATGGATGACACGAGTGTCGGAGCGCGAAAATGCTTTGCCCGAGGAGGTGGTCGTTGAACCCACATCATTTTCCGAACCTAGTGCTTGCATTAAATATTATGACATTTGCAGTTTAAAAATGCTTTTTGCAATGCATACATATGTTGGCCCATTGAATAAGTATTTTATTTGAAAATCTGTCCCACCCAGTTGCTACATTATGTGTGTCGGATATTACTAGCCCATAACAGAAAACATTTTCAAGGTTGTGAGAAAAGTTGATCGTGACATATTGCACATTATGTGAATTTGAACAATTGATGACAAGATACACATATGTTATCATAATATTCACTGTTTTCCCATAGCCTTGCTATAATAGTTCCTATTGGGATGCTGAATCCAAAATAATTTAGACTTTGGAGGTACATACCTTGGGGGTCCAAATTTTGGGGGAAACGTTTTTCTTAAATATATTTTGTGACATATGAGGATGGCATTTAGAGAATCAACTGCAAGTGCTGGGTTCAGTGGTGTAGTAGTAGCATCACTGACTTGCAATTAAAAGGTCCGGTTTCAATTCTCGGCCATTCCTTGGCTGTCTTTTAGCTTTATTTGCCAGACAGTAAAACGGAGAGACATGGAAAGCTGAAACTTGGCATGGACATGCCTACCAAGACGATGAGTTCAAGGAAAATGCAAATTCTAGATCCATACCCTGGGGGCATATTTTTGCGAGCCGACGTTATCAAGTATTTTTTTTTTTATCCTGGCGTATTAAGCTAGTGTGGAAAAATGAAACTTGGTACATAACTACCTATTGGAATGCTGCGTGCAGAAAAATGCAGTCTTTAGAAGTAAATGCAATGGGTGCACAAATTTCAAAGGGAGATGTTTTCAACTAATTTTTTGCATCAGTTAAACTGATGAACATAAAAAGCTGAAACTTTGCATGAATGTGAGTATGGAGACAAGGAGTTGAATAAAAAATTTAAGTCTCGATACATCCCCTGGGGGAATTTTTTCGAGGGGCGATGTTTTGAAAAAAAAATTGGTGGCGAATTGGAAAGGAATGGAAAGGTGAAACTTGGCACACGAATAAGTGACATGACATTAGTGAGCTGAGGGAGTATTCAGTTTTCGTGGGGCATCCTCTCCGGGCATAGCTTTTTGGTGGGTCGGCTTTTCCAAATACATTTCTTTTCGCCACCAAAAAGAGGAAACGCATGAGGCTGAAACTGGGTGGCATGGAGTTCCCTGAGTCTACATTTCAAAAGAAAAGAAATTTTCGTTAAAACGCATTAGGCCACTATTTCAGTCCCATTTTCCTGATTTTTTTTTGATCCAATGAAACAGAGCCGGAAAAATTTAAACTTCCCTCAAAAGTACCCGTTTGATGGCTTAGTAGAGGAAAAATCCTAATTTTGAAAAATGTCTCCTTAGCGTAGATTATTGGAGGGAAGTATTTCAAAATGTATTCTGCACCCTTATAAAGGGGCACAAGAAAAGACTTTAAGTTAGGCACACTTAGAATCATGTAGGTAATGATTTTGATAAAAATCAAGGCTTTCGACCCCATCTGTCGCGTATTTCAACGGGGACGTACGTTAAATACGTGTTTCCCATTTCGCAAAAAATGAATGAATTAATCACAATCCAAGGTAAGAAAGCGCCGAAGGTGCGACCATAGAATATAAAAGCTAGTATATAATAGATTTGTCCTTGAATATTGAAGAGTGCCCTTAAGATTTTAATATCTCCTCCCAGGCACTGGGCCATTCTGCGTACCCGGAATCCTCTTTCTTCAGAAAGCTCTTCTGGCTCCTCATATTTCTGATCATCTCGGGCTACATGTCATATGGAATCATCGACATCATCAATGCATACATGATCGGCAGAATAACGACCACTACGAAGGTAAAACGATTTAAATACTTATCGTTTGTCCTATTGTCCCCGAGTCCGATCATGTTCCGTTACTAATGTATGGTTTGCCATTTAGATGGAGCCGCGAGAAAAAATTTCCTTCCCTGCCGTTATTATCTGCCCTGAAGTATTTAGCACTTGGAATGAACACCACGATTTTTCGGATCTCACCGGCCCAATGGAATTTCTGATAAAGGACTATTATAATAATGAATTGTTGTTTAGACAACTAACTAGTTCAAATGACACACACGCACCGGCATTGCCTGATTTGCTCTCTCCTCTCAATGATACGAATCGCACCATAGAAAAGGACAGTTTAGAGGAAATTTGCGTTGCACCTTTTGCAGCTCAAGGTCAGCAGCTCCGACGATATAATGAACAGGGTATTCAGTTTCATACAATATATTTGAAGTATATCGCATATTCGCCCACTCAGCTCATTACATCATGATTGAAATTATCCTTCCATATGAACGAAGGAGAAATTTCTGAGGTAAATATTCTGGAGGACTGGTGGTATGCAATCTCGAAATTGGAGGATAGTCTCGAGGAAAACAAGTACCTTTTGGATGCTTCCTCGCACATGGAATATGAAAAGCTCATAATACTCCATTGCAGCTTCAATGCAGAGCCTTGCAGAGATACGTAAGGATGATTTCTTCTTTACCTTGTGGAAATTAATATTTTAGTCACAAATGCTCCTGGACGACGGAGGAGAACTTCCAGAAAAAAATCTTGTTCTCGATAAACTCAGTGTTTTCCAATAAGTCTGGTTTCACAGATATTACAACGTGCAGATAGAGAATCGTGCATTAAAAAAAAAAGATTTTCCATGGGAAAATGCGTTCTGGCCAATTCGTTGTACACACTAGGAGAAAGGCAACGACATTAATCCAGTAACAAACCAGTGTAGGTCCTCGAGCCCTGAAATCCAAGTGTTATTTGGCACGTTTGAATATCGCCTTCTCTGGTACTTATAGCGATTTCCGAAAAAAGGATCTCTGCCTTACTTTCAACTACCGCCGTGACAAAGAAGTCATACTTGAAGTCCAGCAGGACCCAGATTTTGAAATCTATTCAAAGAAGACCGCACGGGTACGATCACTTCCATCGATTAAACCGAGAGAAGTGAATTTGAAGTGATATGTTTTTCATCTTAATTTGAACAGCAAGGGCTTCGACTGGCACTGGCACCGCATTTCCAGATAAGCTCAGACAAGTCTTCATATACTGTGGGACACAGGCTCTTCATTCAAAACCCTCAGGATTTTACACATACGCTTGAGGATGGAATCAAAACTAATCTGGGAACGATTTCCAATATTGGCCTAAAGATGGTGGAGTTCGAACGAATCCCTCCAGACTTAGGGGGAAATTGCGCCGTTGATTCTTACCTCATGCAGCGATTCGACCCCAACATCTTTAGAATCACAAATGAAACCCCATATTCCAAGGAGGTGATGCCTTATACCTATAACACATTCATATCCTTCAAAGGGGGTTAACAACTTGTCAATCATTCCTCTTTCATCGATCAGGTGTGTCTAAAATGTTGCGTTGCCACTCAATTGATGCTTGACTTCAATGTCTCATTGGCCAGCATGCTCAAGATGAGGATCGACTATGGTTTTATTTACGAGCCCCATAAATTCTTGGACGAATTCGAAGAGGGTGAGGACTTTGATATGACATTTTATTTCTTCGTGTGTCCTTGTACTCATTGGTCTCCTCAGTTAAATTGAGAGTGTGATTTGAAAATACTTCCATATTTTATATATTTACTATCAATACGTGCTTCTAGCATTTCACTCGAGTATAGTTTTAATGCTACTTCCTGGAGCGCAGATTCTAGAATCTCTGAAGGCCTTGAATGGGCAGAGAAACATGCCGAGAGTTCCTGCGGTTGTCCTCCTCAACGCTGCATGTGAGCCTCACCCTGTATATAACCTTAATCGTCGAATATACAAAGGTGAAAAGATTCTCGCTTGTCCCTTAGAGAAAGGAGATTTGAGCGTTCGTTCTCGTCGTCGCAGATGGGTCGCCATGACGCTTCGATTATAAACCTGGCGGCTTGGATGAAGAACGTGACCAAGAATATTGAAAGTAGATTTTCCAGGGGAGAAAATTTTCAACTACTCCAAAACGAGTTAAAAAACTCGACCTTCTGCAATCGTCCGAAGTTTGTATATTCATTCTAGTATCTTCCTGAAAAGTAATATGGGCGCGAAGATAATTGCATCACATTGAAATTTTGTTTTTCGCCAACGGATCCCTTAGAATTAATTTCAAATATAAATGTTCTACATTTACATGTTCCACATTTACTTGGAGTTTGCAAATACCATTTCTGAAAGGATCACGCAGCTCTAACAACCGAAGGAATGGAGCTAGAACCATTTGCTCATCGACTCATTTCTTCAGTGAACAGTTGGCGGTGGTGCATGTCTTCTACGAAACGACGACAGTGGAGAAAACCACGGAGATTCAGTTGTATCCAGTGAGCCCAGAAATGCGAAAGGTTCTCTTCAGCCTCACTCAGAATATACCGCTGAAAATTAAATCTCTACTTTCTTCGGTAGTGGACAAGCTTCATCGGAACGTTCGGAGGTTTGCTGGGGCTCTACACTGGGATGTCTTTCATCTCGCAAGACCTCAACGACCTTACCTAGAACCTGAACAAGAACATGCCGACCTCCTTCGGTGCAGTTCTATTCTACCCTGGCTTTGCTGCTCGCTAAGAGCACACACTCAACTACGAATAAAATGTTCAACGAGCCAAAATTTAGCATTTTTAACTATCCCAGAAACAAATAAATTTTTTCTTCTCCTAATGGCCTGGCAGGGACAGACCTGGATCTTGAAGAAGAGTCGAGAAAGAAGCCCAATCAAATAGGGGAACTTTCTTTGGAAAACTCACCAGTCTATACTTGTCCACCCTTTAAGGAAACCGAAACCCTTAACTGACCGACATATAGTGGCGCACATGTCAGCAGTGATTTCACATGATTCCTGTTGTATCATGTCTCACAAATTCTGCATTGTTTCACGTTCATAGCTGTACACTTTGTCTGAGGTATACCCACAAGAAAAAATCTAGAGCGCTGAGGTTTGGAGACCGTGAGGGGTATTCATGGGCGCACCCCCGATGACCTATCCACCTTTCAGAAAAGTCATTATCCATATAGGCACGGATGTTTATGTGAAAGGGTGGTGGTGCACTATCTTGCTGAAAGTACACCACTGTCCGGAAACATGTTTCTTATCGCAGAAACTGCAGCATTCATTAATAATTCAAGATAACTTTCCCCAATAGCAGTACCACCGAATATGTAAGGTCCGATTATCCCACGAGAGGGGAGTCCCACACAGTAATTCCTGGCCTGGCCCTCCACAGTGAAACCTTAACATTTCTCTCTAGAAATAAGATAGCTTACGAGTGGCGGACATTTTGAACATCTGTCCCACCTTTTTCTGCGCACCACATTTCCACATATCTAATGCATGTAAAACTATTTTTTATTTGTGTTTAATTAATAAGCTTTTTGAGATATAATAACTCAAAATGTTTACACATAATTCCGAATCGCCCCGTAGATTAGACTAGCCTGTTGGTTTGCCAAAAGAACAAACAAGCACGCTATGTATGTGCCTTCGGCACTCCACTATCCAGGTCTGTGATTCATTCATTAACTTATTCTGAATGGGGCAAATACGTATTAGTTTCTGCCTGTAAAAATGCCTGCCTGTTTCCGTGAACCGATGACTCCATCGACGTAATTGCTCCGATTATTTATTGCGTGCATAAATTCAAATCTCTTTATAATCTGCCCTGATCAGATCATATTTGAAAGGTTGGATAGTACCCAGCAATCCAACACGTATTTCTGCTCTTAGGTTCAACTTTATTTAGTTCTCTTTTTCATTGGATGAGAAAACATTCTGGAAAATGCTCCTTTTGCAAGAAATGTGCCCTTAGGGGTTTTCCCTAAAAATAAACATTTTTACTGAAATCAGTACTGGGTGGACTACGTGCCTACCAAGTTTCAGTCTAATCCGTTTGATCTATTTGCTGGTGCAAAAATATATTTCAAAAAGCCGATGCAGCTAATAGCAATGATCTGAGGGTATGTACCACAAAACTTGACTTTTTCTTGACTCACCATCATCTCAGTTATTGGTGTGCCAAGGTTCCGATTTCTATTTCTATTTAAATTTGGTAGGGCAAAAAAAATATTTGAAAACGTCACCACCAAGTAAAATACCCCTCGGGTATTTCGACATTTTTCCTGAACTTAGAGTTCCAATAGGCATGTCCATGGCAACCGTTTGACGGAAGCAAAAAAAAAATTATAAGCCTCTGCCCCTGATATTTGTGCCACCAGGGCATTTTACTCCAAAGTCTGAAATTTTTTGTACTCCGGTTCCATTAGGTACTGATGTATCACCTTTCAATCTTGGCCCAGTTTGCTAGGGCAAAAAATTTTTTTAAAAGCGTCACCACAAAAATATGCCCCTGGGGATGTAATAGACAACTGATAATTTTCCTAAAATCTGTGTGTCAGTAGTCACGTTCATGCCAAGTTTCAGCTTTTCATGTCTCTCCGTTTGATTGAAGCAAATAAACATATTTGAAAGCAATTCCCCCCTGAAGGTGGGCCCCTAGGCCATGTACCGCCAAAGTCTGACATTTTCTGGATTCAGCATCCCAATAGGTATTCCGTCGAATCGTGCATGTCATGCATCAATCGATTGATTGATATCAAGCGATTGATGAGTACATTGCGTTGGTTTATATTGTAGCTGCGAAATATGAGAAAATAAGTATTAATGTTAATGTGTTGTCACGTTGAACGGAGGGAGAGACAGCCGGTTTTCGTTGGAACATAAATCATTATTTGTGGTGAAAGGGAAACTCATATGTCCTTCGGATGTCCTTTGTTCGGTGGTGTAATGGTAGCGCACCGGACGGAGAAACAGGAGGGCGGGGTTCAAGTCCAGGTCGTCACCTGTTCTTTCGTCCAGTCCCGGCAGCCTCCCGTACCTTCGGTCCTTATGACATATGCCACAAAGAAATCTCAACCTTCAAACTTTTTCACGTAGTAATTTTTCGTTTTGTTTACTTACCCTAACTAACTATCCTATTAGAAAACACGACGAATCAGAGTAGTCGGACAGGTCTTTTAGACCGCAGTTCCAGCTGAATCAGAGTTGGAGGCATAATTATTTAATAAATATAGGAGCGCTGATGGCTGGAATGTCCTTTGTAATATTTTTTTCTTCGCTGAATAAACATGCACCACTGTCACAGGTTGTTGTAAGTGCTTACATTTGAAATTTTTTCGCTGAGCAGTTAGAGAATGATACGACTAAGCAGGTGACTGATGTCTGACTACTCTTCGGTGCTGCTCAGACCAGGTTTGTATCAGATGCATATTTTACTGGATCTTCTGAATCCCAATGCTTAATTTTGCTTTTTTCTAATCCTTTCTGACACCAAAGCGCGAAATAACACATGACATGAATAAAAGCCAAAAATCTAGAGTTTTGACCATTTTTGTAGGTGGTCTGCTTTCAAGACACAAGTTTCACACGAATTCACCTATTTTCATGTGCCATCTAGTATGGAAGGCACGACCATATGTTTGCCCAGAGAGCAAAAATATCGCATGTTGTAAATATAAGGTCAGTTATCCAGATTGAGAGTTGCCTGAAATTGTGAAAAATCGCCAGTTGCTTATACTCTTTCAATGACCTATATTGCCTATGCCAAGGTTCCTATAGAGAGTGGAAATCTCCATTTTCTTTATGCAAAATCACTTGCACAGGTTGTACATATTTCATGTTTAATGGCTGGGATTCCAGAAAATGATCTAACTGAGCTGGCGGGGACGTTGTCTCACAACTTTCTCGGTTTTGCTCTGGTTGGCTAATTTTGTATCGGATGCATATTGCACTAAATAGAGAAATCCGTTTGCTTAATGCTACTACCATGGAGTTATCGGTGACGTCGAAATAACATTCTTCATTAAAGTAAATGCCTAGAATCAAGGATGTTTGACCACATTAATTATAATTGATATACTTTTCTTTGAAGACCTAAGTCTCAGATTAATTTTCTATATATTCCAAGGTCGGCCAGATACGGGGAGTTTGTTTGCCCTGAGTTAAAAAATATCGACTGTAGTCAATAGAACGTCAATTACCTATCTTGCCTATTCTAACGATCCAACAGATAGCAGATTTGTAAAAGCTTGCTAATCTCTATCGTGTTCGTCCACGTTCTAATGGTAACCTTTTTTATTAAATAAGAAAACTATACCACGATTTGAAATTTTCCGAACATTTAAAACATTTACAGTTTAACTTAGAATATCTTCATCAAGACAAAATTCGGACATGTGAATTCCGCAATTTAGTCGCATGTGAGAGATTGTGCAATAAGACGACAACGAGACCTCCATGATTGAAGGGATTTGTCGGGATCTCCCGCGCTCTTTACCTGGATGTCGGAAAGTCACGGAGTGTTATACACTCATTGATTTCTAAAGATCTATCGACGCGAAAACACTTGCAACAACTGAAGAGACGAATGGAAATTTCCTATTTGGCGGATCCTTTCCGGACAGATATACATGACAATTAGGAATGACAGCGGGCTTAGCCGACATTATCGAGGTGAGGTCTTCAGTGCTGACATGCTTTTTTTGCTCAGTATCTCATCTTCCTGTGAACGATGGAAAATAATCGTTGTCGTGTCGATAGTGATGCTAGCTCGCTGGAACTTCCCGTACCGATAGTGGGCGCATTCGGCTGCGATGCAATCTAACCGCTAGATTGCGTCTGGGGAAGCCCGAAGAGACCTGGAAGGTTTTCGTGAAAGGCATTTGAAGATGGCTGAGTGAGTTATCCTATACTTATTTTTATGTTTTATTCTGTCATGATAGGTCATTTTCAATTGGTCGGCAATAACTATATTCTTTGGTCAGTACGTAACTGTGTCAACTACTTCAAAACGTTAAAACGACATCCCATTTGTGTTAACTGTGCATTAACGGGAATTCCAAGGATATCAACATAGCAACAGTGGAATAATAATAATGGATTAATATACCTCGCTGATTTATTCTACATTTTTGCAAGAAAATGGCGATTTCTGAATTTCATTTTGAAAAGAAATTAGTTAACTTTCAATACAAGTGTATGGACCTAACGGATTGACGTTGCCAATAAATTAAACTTTTATTTCTTCGCAACGCAAAAAACTCTTGTAATTTTATGTGGAAATGTTTCTCGGTGGCAGGCATAAAATGAAGGATATCGCTGTGACTATCTTCAAATGTAGTACGTTTTGAGCAACGTCCGGTAAAGCGACGCATTTGGCTCATATTTTTGTATTTGACATTAAATTGACATTAGTTCCATATTGTTTTGCTTATGTATTTGAGAACTTGTATTGATACCCTGTGGTCAACAGGTTACAGCGATCCAACTACACACATTTGTTCCAAGATCGAGACCTCTTACCACTAACCCAACGTTACCACCATCTACCCTACCTGGTCTTCTTTTGTTTACAAGGTGCCAAGCGGGTTCTTCTGTTCGTATGCTTATCGAACGGTTTCGAACACGCTCATATTGAAGGTGATTCTATCCTTCCATATATTTTCGAATGTTATGTTTTCAAGGTAACACTTGATATAACTGACAGCCGCTCAAAATTACATATTGACACACACAGATCAATTCTATAATTTGAATGAAGTGATACTAGTTTTGTGTGAAAATTGCCATTTTGTAGATGCACTTTCATTCTAACCTTTGTAGGAGTGATGGTATACCCGGGCAAGGGGATCCTCGAGTTCGCATATGTTGACATGGGTCAATACCCCGACGATTCCAATTTGACAATCGAGGTCATTCTTCGTACTCTACTTCATGTGAAGGAGTATTTGAAGCCCAAACTCTTCCTGCAGATGGACAATAGTACCAGGGAGAACAAGAACAAATACCTCTGCGCACTGGCTCATCTACTCGTAGAGGAAGGAATATTTGAAGAGGTGAATGACACTCTTAGGGATCCTTGAAATTATAGAAATCCTGTTTCCAAGAGACTTTTTGGGACACTCCACATTCTATGTGCAGATTTTTTTTTAAAGGTGGTCTTCAACTTTCATCCAGTTGGACATACTCATGAGGATATTGACCAACTCTTCAGCTCAGTGAACCATTATCTGAGGGTTAGAGACACATGCACAGTAAATGGTAATTTTCTTTGTATGCCTAGTTTATCGCTTTGGCTTGATTCTGAATGCCACATGAAAATTAAATTTATCTTTCTGTTCAATTACAGATTTGATGACGTGTCTGCAAGAGATTAGAAGAAGAGGGAGACCTGAAAATCTTCATGCTGAAGAATTGAATGCCGTCCACAACTTCAAGACTGTCATCCAGGATCATTTTCCACGTCATTTTCGTGGACCAAACCTCATTCATTCCGATTCAGGAAATCCAAAGGAATCACACAAATGCACATTCGATTGCATGCTGGAGAAGCCTGGTGCCCCAATGAGCATGATATTCAATACATCAGGGAGTGCCTTGGCCCAGACCTTGGATATGTATGTCTACAGGTAAGGAGAGTGCAATGACTGACTAATATCCCTAGTTGAGGTCATTAAGCATCCCTGACATTATAAAATTTGTGTAAAATTAAATTGGATTGGACTGATTTTAGTTTTATAACTTCAAGCGGTTCCTAATATGAAATGTCACTTTTGCAGGAGTATAGTTGTAGAAGTCTTTCTCAGGCTTGGAGTTGCTCATGAAATTATTAACTAGGAACGTGTGGAATGCCTTTCCCCCTTTTCACTTCTTGATTCATTTTCACCTCCCAGACGACTCCAGCACTCAATGCATTCGGTGTTCTGGTGCCTCCTGATTGGAATGCAGCTGGACTAGAGGTGGTGAGGGCATCCATCCAAAATTACTTCCCAGAAATGTCTGAAGACAAAGTCCACGCTTGGCATGTGTTTTCTCCAGACACGCAGCAATCCATGGTAATGGCGGTTGTATGAAGTCTCAAATATGTTTTATTAGCAATTAACTTATGGAATTAAACTACCAGATATGCATTGGTCTATCCCCAGGAACCAGTATTGTACCTTCTAAAGCTGAGAGACTACAAGAACGCTTCAACTGAACAACCTGCCGGCTTAACTCCAACCATGCAATCCTACCTGGCGAACATGAAAAGTCAGATGCTCGGACCATTGCAACAGGTGAGAATA